GTGGGGCTCACCCAGTCTCTTCCTCAGACTTCCTTCCAGCTCCCCAGCTTGCCTTTGCCCTAAGAGCCCTCCTGGAGAAGACACAGGGCCGCCTTTGTTCCGGCCACACCTCCTTAAAACCCTCTAGGAGCCCAGGACCTCAGCCCTCCACCCTGGTGGGGACAGCAACCACCCTCTCTGTTTGCTGACTCTTATCCTGTTATCCCACCGACTGGCTCAAGCCTCTGGCTGCATCTGCTCCTAGCAGCCTGTTTCCCCTGGTCTAGTCAAGGCCTGGTCAGCATGCAGACTATATCCACCCATCTTGGGATTCTTCTTTATGCTGCTCCCTTGAGGAAGCTCCTGCTCTACTCAGAGGAACCCCACTCTCTGTTTTTCAACCTTCTCCCTGCACCCCCAGCCTGGTCTCCCTCCCCTCCCTCCCACCCAGCCGTCTCTTTCTCCTGTCCTCCTTGGAAACCCCCCTCCCCAATGCCATCCCACCCTTGCCTGTGTCCACGGAGCTGGCAGAAGCAGGTCTTCACCCTCTTTCTTACCAGCTGCCCTCAGGGTGCCTCCGGCAGGCCAGGCCCCTGGCTCCTTCCTTGGTTGCCTGGCCTCTGTCCTAAGCTCTCCCTGTGCCCCTCCTTGGTACGGCTGCTGGCTAGGAACCCATGACACTGAAGCCATCACAGAAGGACTCAGGCGCTGACTCCTGGCTCTCTGCTCACCTTGTCCACTCCCAGCCGAGGCCAGCTAGCTGCCTGCTCTTCTCTCTTGCTCAGCCCCACCCCACACTGCCCTCACACCTCAGGCTTTCCTCAGAGGTGGGTGGCCAAGCCTCCCTCCCACCTCCGGTTACCGCAGAGGTGGGTGTCTCTGTGTTCTCTCTCTCAACCTCACGCCCCTGGTAGCGACGGCCCCACGTCTCTGCTCCTCATTTATAACAAAACTCGGCTGGAAGGTTGCGGATCCTTGCTGCCTCCAAATCTTTCTCTCCCGTTTGCTCTTGAACCCACTCTAATCAAGCTTAATTTCTGGACTTCCCTGAAGCAGCTCAGGTCAAGGTCACCCATGACCTCCGGTGCTGCTAAATCGGAGGCCAGCTCTCAGGCCTCATTTGACTGTGACCCACGGGCAGCACGTGACTCAGCCCCTCTCTGGCTTCCAGAATCTCCCACACTGTTCCTACATCACTGTCTCCTTCTGCGTCCCCTCACTGGCTTCTCCTCTCCCTGACCGGTCAAGGACAGACAGCCCCAGGCTTGGTTCTGGATCACCTCTCTTCTCCCCTCCCCTCCCCTCCCCTCCTCCCCTCCCCTCTTCTCCCCTCTTTTCTCTCTCCCTCCCCTGGTGATTTTATCCACTCTCTTGGTTCTAAATACATCCCCAAGTCTGTCTCCAGCCAGAGACTACGCTCCCCACTGGCCCATCTGAAAGTTTCAACCTGCCCCCAGTCAAAGTCTCCATTCCCTGTCCTCAGTAGCCTTCTCTTTTGCTGGCCTTGGAGTTTCTAAGAGAGTTCCCATTCCCACATCGCCACACAAAACTAGCTTCAAGACATCGTCAGAGGCAGGGCTCTTCTCACTGCTGCCCTGGCTCCAGATGCCTTCACCTAGACCGGAGGCTGCGGCCTCACTGCTCTCCTGCTACTGCCCTCCCTCCCCCC